TATTTTTAGTGCCAACAATTAAGAATTGTTTTCCTCTGCTTGCTGCATCAAAAACCAAATCACAAGCTTCTGATAAAAAACGAGCAGTTCTAGTAAGATTTGTAATATGAATACCTTTACGTTTTGCAGAGATATAAGGTGCCATTTTAGGATTCCATTTCCTAGTACCATGGCCAAAATGAACTCCTGCTTCCATCATCTCTTCTAAATTAATGTTCCAATATCTTCTTGTCATTTCTCCCACACTGCCTCCCCCTTTTGAAAAAAAAAAGAGAGAGGTACCCTGAAATAAATAATTGTTCCGATGGAACCTTCTTTTATACCATAGATTGGCGTAGATACACAGCCCAAGCCATTATTCTTTTCTATTTGTTATTTTTTTGATTACTATTACCAAATCAAAATGACTGGACCAACAGATCCTTTATAAAAGATAAAAGAAAGGGGTGAATCCGCTCTTAGAGATCATTAAATCCTAAAAAAATGATTGTTCTTGTGTATCATGTAAATTATTTGAAAGGCAAGAATCAAATAATTTTCTGTGGTAGAACAAAATATCTTTCATTTCCCCCTCTAATAGATTCTTTTTTTGGAGTTCAAAGGCAATGTTGTTAGGAATGTTGTTAGGTTCGCTTGAAGGTGTTTTGAAGCCGCTACCAACAGGTATCATCCCCCCCAGAACAACGTTTTTTCTTCAGGCCTTTCAACCAATCGATACGGCCCAGGAGAGCTGCTTTTGCTAAAACTCTAGCAGTTTCTTGAAAACTAGCTTCGGATATGAAACTTTGAGTATTCATAGATGCTCTTGTTATTCCCAATAAGACGGCTTGGTAACAGATCGCTTCTTCCAAAGCGCGTCCCATTCGTTCCGCTCGCAACAATCCAATTAGTTCTCCGGGCGAAAAAACATTAGACATTTCATCTTCTGAAACCAAAACTTTTGATGTTATTTGACGTACAATAATTTCTATATGCCTATTATGTATCTGCACCCCCTGGGAGCGATAAACCTTTTGGACCTTATTAACCAAAGAGATACGACTTTGCACTATAGTTAGTTCAGCACCAATCAAGAATGCCCAAGGAATTCCAAGAATTCTTGTTATAGATTTGTTCCAACCCTCAATCCTCTTTTCGAGATTCATCGATATTGAATCAATCGAACGCACTTCTAACACCTGTTCCACTTTTGGAAGACCTTGCGTTATATCACCAGATCTTGATTTTTCATATATAAATGTAACTAATGTATCGCCTTCGTAAAGGATTTCCCCATAATGTCCATGAACAGTTGCTCCTGGAGTAGCCAAATAAGGCTTAGCTGATCGTATTACCACAGAGTCAACTTGAACAATTAGAACTTGACCCGATTTTAAATGCGGTCCTTTTTTTGCTATACATACATTTTCACAAAGAAACTGCCCAAGACTAACGATTGGAGATGTCTCTTCACAATAATTGTAATGGAGAAAATACCAATTCAAATGAAATGGATTCAAAATGATGTTACTGCATGAATAGGGATTATAAATTTGACCATTTTCATCCAGTAAATAATATTTAAGTATTTGAAAAATCTGTTTGAAATTGTCAAGTTGCAAATAGTTAGTTACCAAGATCTGATTATGGGTTATTAAATGGGAAAAGAAATCAAAATTATAAATTGGAAAACCTGTTCCTAACGGGCCCAACGAATTCCTAATTGGAATTAGGGGGTTCTTTTTGATTGATTCTTTTATCGCATTGGGAGATTTTACATCGTTGAATGGGCCTATTCGAAAACAATTGGATGATGACAAAATTATCAAAGATTGAGATTCCTTATTTCGATTCAACAACGTATGGATAGTTCCTTGATTTGGATTAAGGGATTCTTTAATCCTTGACTTGGAATAGGAATAAATGGAAGAAAATGGATTGACATTAGCGCGATCTGATCCATTCTCAGAGATCAATCCTGAACCCGACAGATCGTTCCTTTTTCCGGTATAAGAAATAGGTGACTTAGCTAAGTCGATTCTTAGAAAATATCTAAGCAAACCATTTGTCCTTATTTCAACAAAGGAAGCACAGGCCTTTTCGATTTTTTTGTCTTGGTCCCAATTCAACACTAAAGAAGTCCGAACTAACTGAATACTTGTGTCCCAAATTTCAAGAATTGGGTCGTAATAAAGGATATAATTGACAACTCGAAGTTGTAGATTATCACTTTCCTGCAAGAGATCCGGCGGGAAAAGTCTTCCTAAATTTATACCATCCGTTTTTTTATATGGGACTACAGGTTGAACCAAAACAAAATACTTTTTTTCATACCTGGAAAGTTTCATTCGTTGGATATAGAGCCAATTTTTCAATTTTTTGTATTCTTTGGAATTTGGTTTTCCCCCTCCTGGCGGTATCAATCGGAATGCCTTATTTGTCTTTCCAGGAAAATGGATATCTCCAGAAAAGATTATCAGTTTCATTTTTTCTGCTTTTTTCTTCACTCGGACCAATCCGCCTACCCGACTTCTTCTATTGAAAGTGATTTGTGTATCTGCCCCAATAATACTATTGTGCCGTACCATTATGGAAGAAGATTCGGACAAAATGTGGACTTCCACGGGAATAAAAAAAAATGGATTTACTTCCTTTTGGTATTTTGGCCAAAATACCTTGACTCCTCGATACTCAATCAAATTCTCTTCGTTGACGATTGAATTTAGTTCTCGAGTCTCATATTTAGTAAGTCCCGAGCTCTTTCTTATATATCGAGGATCATCGAAATAAGCAAGAATACTATTTCTACGGAGAATACCATTTCTGGGTATTTCCATTGAGATACCTGAAGAAGGTATTAGTTGGTTCTCGCCTTCTTGAATCGATTCGAGTGGGATGATGAATCTATTTCTTCGCCTCTTTGCCAATAAATCAGAATTACCGTCGAGAATGGCCGGATATCTGAGATTACAATGATCCGTACATGTCATTCGATTCAGTTCTGAATAATCAGGAATCCTATCTCCTTTTTGATTTTTACCAGAAAAATACGAACTAAAAAATTTGTGTCTCACTTGATTATTAGTTACTGAGGGGTTAGCAATATATCTTGGCTTGACAGAAAGAGAATAAGCGTTCATTTGATCTTGATCCTTGTGGATCGAACAAGGGCCTAGACTGTATCTCCAGGGCTCCCCTAATAATATCCATAAATGACTTGTTTTTGGTAAGAGATGAATATTACCATATGTAAATTCAGGTGCATGGTACACATCAGTATTCCAGTGCATTTCGCCTTCTGAGTCAGAATAAATATGTTTTCGAACCTTCTCTTTCAAATTCAAAGTGGAGGTTCTCGCGCGAATCTCAGCAATCACTTGTTCTGATTCTACATATTGATCGTTTTGAACTAAAAGAAAACTTTTGGGCGGAATACACACATTGTGTATAATATCTTCACTCTCAATAGTTACATACAAGTCTCTAGAACATAGAAAAGCAGGATGTCCATGACGTGTACGTGTCGGATGAACCAAATCCTCGTTGAATTTTATTTTTCCATTAGAAGGGGCTCGCACATGTTCTGCAGTACCCCCTGTAAATACTCCGCCGGTATGAAAAGTTCTTAATGTTAATTGAGTGCCCGGTTCTCCAATAGATTGACCTGCAATAATACCTACGGCTTCTCCCAATTCGACCAGGTCGTCATGAGCTGGACTCCGGCCATAACATAATTGACAAATCCAAGATGTACTCCTACAAGTAAAGGGGGTTCGAATAGAGATTGGGTGTGCTCTAAAAGTTATGAATCTACTGACAAGTCCAACCCCAATATCTTGATTTCTAGTAGCAATACATCGCGAACCTATATATATATCATCTGCTAATACACGGCCAATTAATGTTTGGATAAAAATCCTGTCCGTCATCATTCCATTTCGAGGACTTACAGAAATACCTCGAACGGTGCCACAATCTGTTCGACGTACAACAATGTGTTGAACTACTTCAACAAGTCTGCGCGTGAGATATCCTGCATCTGATGTTCGGATAGCGGTATCCACAACCCCTTTACGGGCTCCGTAACAAGAAATAATGTATTCTGTTAACGACAGTCCTTCGCGTAAATTGCTTTGAATGGGTAAATCAATCATTTGCCCTTGAGGATCCGACATTAATCCTCTCATACCTACTAATTGATGTACCTGAGATGCATTTCCTCTGGCTCCCGAAAAAGACATTATATGGACTGGATTAAAAGGATCGGTCATCCGAAAATTAGGATTCATTTCTTGTCGCAAATATTCACTTGTGGCATACCATATTTCGATCGATTGACGTAATTTTTCTACCGCGTGTACATTCCCATAATGATGGTGTTTTTCCAAAATAAAACTTTGTTGTTCAGCGTCTTGAACTAGCCATCTTTTAGAAGGTATTGTTAAAAGATCATCAATTCCTAATGAAATGGATGCGGCGGTAGCTTGTCGGAAACCCAGAGTCTTTACTTGATCTAAGATATGTGATGTATATCCTATTCCATAGTGATCAATAAATCGACTAATAAGTCGTTTCATGGCAGTTCCGTCTATCACTTTATTGTGAAAGACCTGAGTGGGCCGTTCTGCCATCAGTACCTCCATATTGCGCTGAGTAGAATTTTACAATGGGCTTGAGTCAGTGATTGGAAAACTTCCTTTTCTAGATCTTGATTCACGTATAAATTCTGCACTTATGGTCCTAGTTAACCCGGAGAGACTCGAATTCCCGTTGGTAGCATAGAATTACAACAGCCCTGCCAAAACCCCTGTATGGCTTCTTCTATTTCTCGATAAAGGGAAATATGACCAAGAGTGGTTCGAATATATATATAAAGAATTTCTTTTTTATACTTCGTACTATTAGATAGTGTCCATAAATCTCATAATAGGTCCCCACAGATTCATAGTGAATTTCGATGGGAACTTCTCTTGCAGTAATAACGCGTTGATCTAGTCGCCACCGCAGCCACAAAGGACTACCTAAATTGATTCGTTTTTGCCGATAAGCTCCAATTGCATCATAGGGATTACAAAAAAAGGGTTCTTTTTTTTTGTATACTTATAGTTATTATCTTCATTTTGATAGTTTCTACGATTACATGGATTATACCTATTTACACAAATACCCCGACGATTTCCACTCGTTAAGACATAGAGTCCACTAAGCATATCTTGAGTTGGTGCCGAAATCGGATCCCCAATAGTTGGAGACAAAAGATTCATATGAGAAAACATAAGTAAACGCGCCTCTGCTTGAGCCTCCAAAGATAAAGGCACATGAACAGCCATTTGATCCCCGTCAAAGTCTGCATTGAAGCCCTTACAAACTAATGGATGTAAACAAATAGCGCGCCCTTCCACTAAAACGGGGAGGAATGCCTGTATGCCTAATCTATGCAGAGTAGGCGCTCTATTCAGCAATACAGGATGGTCATCCAGAATTTCCTGAAGTATTTCCCATACAATCGGTTTTTTTTTCCGAATTTGACTCTTAGCAACTCCTATGTTCGAAGCAAGATGTTTTCTAATTAGGTCACGAATTACAAATGCCTGGAAAAGTTCTATTGCTATTTCGCGAGGCAATCCACATCGATGTAATGAAAGTGAAGGGCCCACGACAATCACGGACCGCCCTGAATAATCGACCCGTTTACCAAGCAGAGTCTCGCGAACTCTTCCTTCTTTGCCTTCAATTACATCTGAAAGCGACTTGTAAACTCTATTATGATCATCCCTCATTGGTTGTCCGCAGATTCCATTATCAAGAAGTGCATCCACGGCTTCTTGTAGCAATTTTTCCTGAGATATTATTAATTCTTCTGGCGTAGCTATACTTGTTGTTAATAGATCTGTAAGAGTATTATTCCGATAGATAATTCTTCTATAGATTTCATTAATATCCGAGGTCACTAGTTTATCCTCATCTATATGATAGATTGGTCTCAACTCAGGAGGAAGAACTGGTAATAGACGCAAAACCATCCATTTTGGTTCATATTTGTTCGAATAAAATGCTTAGCCAATTCCATGCG